AAATAAAAATGCAGCATCGGATCTTCATTTTCTGGCATGGTACAATAAGCTCTCCCTCATAAAAAGCTGTCAAGTCTCTTTTTAATGAGGGCCTCATTATAAAGTACTGTCCAGGGCCTATTCAAAATAGGTCAGGCGTGTCATGCTTAACCATAGCCTTGCTCACCCATTTAACACTGAGGAAAAAACATGACCAACTTGTTAGGTAAACTAACATGACGTGAGAAAATGTGTGTGTAAAGACCCTACAACTGAGGCTATGACGAAAGCACTTTACTCTCTTCACATATCTCTCAAAATGAGTACGGTGTGTGTGTTGCGTATGTTGGTATAAATACACAAGGTCGTTACTAAACTGTACCACTTAGAGAAAGGGTGAGAAGCTCGGTGAGGGGCTCAGACTACAACTTCCTCTCCTCCACGTCGAGAGGAGCCAGCTGATTAGGATGCCTCCCGGTCGCCTTCCTGGTGAGGTGTTCGGGCACGTCCCACCAGGAGGAGGCCCAGAGGAAGAGCCAGGACACGCTGGAGGGACTATGTTCCTCGGCTGGCCTGGGAACAAAATATCTGAAACAGGAGAGAAGTGAGCTTTAGAAGGAGAAAAGAAACACTCAGAAGTTTGAAGTGTAAATGATTTACTTCACCTCTGCCATTCGTTTGTGCGTTCAGGTCATCCCGAGTAGGGCATAAAAGCACCCCACTAAAACAGGCGGCTTGTGGCTGATGTTGAGGACATTAAAGTAGTTCTACATAGAAAATACAATACGCAGCGCTTGTGTATGGAGTCTGCATGGGTGTGTTTTTTCAGTGCATTCCGTCTGCAACACACAGCCATAACACTAAAAACCACCTGCCTTCAAGCGGTACTAAAAAAAAAAACCCAAACCAATGCCTCCAGAGATCAGGTTTGTTTGGGTGGTGCTCATTGTCCTATCCCTTGAGCCATTACTATGCAGACTTTATGAAGAGGAGGGCTGCATTGTCCTGATGAGGGACTTTTGATTCAACGTGTGCAACAATACTGAAGTGGGTGGTACCTGTTCATGAAGCTTCTAGAATCTACATGAACATCAGGTCAAAAAGGTTTCCCAGCAGAGGGATGGGATTATCCTTATGTCGCATTCCAGTATAACTTTCAGTGTGAGGACAGAGCCAGGTCGCAAAAGAATGATTTATTGTTGTAGTTGGTGCTAAAAGCAGATATTTGGCAACTATGTGACTTCAAATCTTGTTTCCCTACACATCTAAAAGTTAAAAAATACATGATTGCTATTTAAGAATCTAACATACGGTTTATAAAACCAGACAGAAACAGCATGCATGTAGACTGAAAGATATAAAAAAATGTCTCTGGTTTAAAAGTTCATGCTTTAATCTCAACTAAAATCTTAATAAAGGGAAGGGCTCCACAGTCTCCAGTATTTCTGTTAATACAGTACACACAAGCCGTGTTTACACAGGCGTGCAGGAGGCCCTTCAATGCTGCCAAGAAAAAAATAACTGGATTTAGCGGTGTATTGATGTATTATTGCACAGCATAAGAAGCAGAACTAAAACCCTTCCTCTCCCCCAACAAAACCACATGAAAATAAGCCTGGGGGATTTTAATCTGAAAACTGGTCTGAAATACAAGTCAAGCCCAGTTTCTCTGCTGTTTCTACTCTCAGTTTCACTTTTGTTGTGCTGAGTTGGTAAAAGCTCTGACTAAATACAGCAAAGGCTGAAGGAAACGACCTAGTGTCAGTGTGGAAAAACTATGGTATGCTAGTTGAGACATTTTGGTTGGCTGAACCGAGCATGCCGATCAAATTTCTTGCAGGGATGTGGGAAAAGCTGGGAGAGTTATGCAACGTTGTCGGGACATGGAGGCAGAAGGGGTGTAAACAAAACCACTCTCAAGTGGGACAGGCCTAGTCGTTGCCTGGTAACCAGTATTTTGGGCCAGACCATGCAAACACAGCCCGCCTTCTGAGAGGAAACAGGGGCTGGCCTCAGGAGCACAGTGCAAGCTAGTGGCTTCCCGTAAATATGCTAAGAGACAAGGGCAGGCAAAACAAAGCACAGCAGGGGTGTCACGTTACACTGATTATGCATGATTATGTTCAGTTTTTTTTTTTGTACGTGGTTTGGCTAGACTCTAAACCACAACAAGATGTAAACAAACAAAGTGTACAAACTAATGGAGCAATAGGGAAAGTTACAACTCACTAAAACTGTACTTCCAAATCTAAATGGAACCACAACTACAAATATAGAAACATATAACCAACACAGATATGTTTAAAAAACAACAACTTTTACAAACCATAACATATTTCTTTTTGAGGAAACAGGTTGCTAACTGACTTATAAGGCTTTCAAATATAAACTTCAATCTGCACTTGACAGCGGAAAGCCTGTGACACCCAGTAAGTCATATATTTTTGTTTATTTCAGACACTTTCAACAAACTAATAATCTATCAAAAGATGTGTGTATGATGACTGGATTCTTCATAATCTGCTATTTTCTGTTCATGTGAAAAAGATAATTGTCTCATACCCTTATCTTAAGAACTGTCTTTAGTCACACGACTGCATTTTCTAGAGTTACGATTCATACTTGCACGTTAAAAACAAACAAACAAACATAAGAAGAAAATATCCGTGCTTGTCTGTTTTTCTTTGCAAAGCGCTGGTATTTGTCATTTACTACGAGACGTAAAAAGATTAGTCAAGCTCAAACCGTTCCTTTTAGCCTACTTCTTGGTGTTACATATCAGACTAAACCGTTGCGAGCGACTACAAAAACTTGCCAGAACATGAAAAACGAGTCGGCATAAAATAAGCTCCAGATTGCTACTGTTCCCTGCACACGAAGAACCCGGAAGCCATATTGTGTGCTTCTGAACAGAGGAGGTTACCACGGAAACTGGTTGCTAGGCGGCATAACATTAAAAAAAATAAAAAAAACAAATTTATACGTCCTTGCGTCAGAGGCGACGCCGTATCCATGGCGACAGAACGCTGTACACACATGCAGCAGTCCCGTGGATCGCACATGCCGTTTTTCTTAGTAAAAGTAGCCTTTCTCAGTAAAATATGATACTTTTAGCATTTTTTAAAAATCATTTGACAGATTAAAACACAGAAAACAGAACTATTATAATACATATTTTCTTAAATGTGTTTTATAAAATGACAATATAAACTGTTGTACGATATGAGTACCCCGTTGAAACTTAAAATAACGACATTTTATCACTTCCTCACTGTAAATTCGTGGCCTCGTCTCATTGAGCTACACCAGTGACGTTCCCCCTGGTTATTATTTCGTTGTGTATGTGGGCTGTTGGTGTGCGCTTTCTGCTATTCCCCTTAAAAAATTCTCCATCATGAGCAACTTACATCGATGCGTTAGTCACTCCGGCTGAAGAGCGCAGCGCCGGGAACGGCAGCCCGGATGGGACACAGCGTCCTCCGTAAATCCTCGTCTCTGACGTTGTTGCCACTCTGACTAATAACTTGTTATCCCCAACTCTTCCCTTTTCGCTCACGCCTGTTCACACTTCAGCTGGAGCTGGAGCCCTTTCACAGCAGCATTCCCGCCCCGTGACATTGTTTGACATCACAACCAGAAAACGTAGGCCTTATTTCAGATTTTTCACTCATGAATATGCCACTTTTTTTTTTTACCTCCCCCCTCCGCAATTAATCTTTGGAGCAATTCCCCAAGCAAAGCCAAACTCCCACCTGCCACATTCCCCCTGGTGTCCGCATGTAGGTTTTTAAAAATGAATCACATTCTCCTCGTTGGGGCGATGTTTGCAGACAGGCGTCGACTTCCGTCACTGCTGCCCACTGTCAGTGTCAGTACAAACTCATGTTTACCACTTGGTGTTTTGTTTTTTTGCGGAGAGGGACGGCTGTGAATGAGACTGTTGTTCGTCCACAGAGTCTTGCCCACGCTAAAATCCATAGAAGATTAGGTGTACCGTCTCGTATAGCTTAGGACTTTCAAGGCAGTTCCTAACTTGTAGTGGATCCGTCTGGGAAATGCTGTGGCCAACCTGATTTCAGGATTAGGGCAGTGCTCGTGCACTTGAAAAGGAGGCTTTCCTCTAGTTAGTCCTCCACCTCACAAACTCAAGGGAGTCCCGAGGGCGTGTCCTGAGAAACTTTTCAGCAGGATATCCCTCTCGTGCTTGGGGATTCCACCCAAGGAAGTTCGGACTTTAAACATAGATAAATCAATCAATAACTAACAATGTTGCCTATCCAGGTTCTTTTCAATGTATCAGGCTAATATTGTGGTCCCTGATGTTATATTATTGATTTTTAATAACTGTCACTTGTAATTTACTTTTATTTATTTTGTTGTATTGTAAATCAACTTAATTTATTTATCCATGCCTCCACTGTGCTTGTGCTTTTTCCCTTTTTTCTCCTGTAATGTGTAAATTCCCCCACTCTGGGATCAATTAAGTATTATATTGTTCTATTTTACGTTAAGACTAAAAGAAACTAACATTCAATATCCATACATTCCTGAAATATGATCAAGCCCACAGAGGCCAAGGATAGATAATCTTTTAACGTCTAATGAATGACTCAAGGAACACAGTTCAAACCAGAGAAAGTAATGGGAATGATTGAATGTCCTGCATAATTAAGACCTAAAAACTCTTCCAATGTCGTACTCGTGTAAAGTCCTAAATACATACTTTCCATATTTATCACTTTTAAGTTTCGTAACATTTCCTTTCTTGCATTGTCAGACGGTGAGAAATATCTGTGCCTGTGATATTTTTAAGTGAAAAATAGTCTATTATTATCCGTCGGCGAGGTAAGCTTCTGGTCCCTTTTAGTGGAAGAGGGAATCCCTCAACGTCACCAAGGATACCAAACACAACATGGCGCACAAATATGGTCATGTACGTCAGCGGAACTCCGAGGCGGGACTTCGACGACAGAACTGTCTTGGTTGTACTCGAAGGATGGCTTCATTCATAAGACAAGGTCTGCTACCGTGCACAGTCGCCTTTTACGAGTCACCGTCCTCCGTGAGCGGACTTTATGGATCTATAAGCGCACTTTGGACGGCGGATAGCGGAGAGCAGCGCGAGGATTTGGGGCGAAGCGAGAGGACTTCTTCAGGAGGCGGTGCACCCTGACTATACGGGGAACTGGATTAAGCTTCTTGATGCAACTTTTTTGGAAAGAAACCAAGACCATCTCACCGGGGAATACCAACAAATTCGGATACGGTAAGACAACTTCAACTTTACAGAGTGCTAGAAACGAAGAAAAAAGGGAGAAATCGCTGCTTTAAAAGTATAGGTGAAGCATCTGTCCACCGCTGTGTCTCAGCGGATGCTCCAACGCATCTCTGCCCGGATGCAGCTTTCACGATAGGTTTCATATTCACCTCTCTGTACCACTACCCCCCCCAAAAAATGATCACCTATCATTTACGCACGCTTTTACCCTCTCCGTTTCCCTTTTTGCACATTTCAACCCTCCAAACAATCACACGCGTAACCAAACTCCAAATACAACAACTACCACCAGCCTTTTAAAGCAGTGAGGGGCTGTTTTTGACCCACTCCGCCGGTCTCACCAGCAGTTTTTCTCCCCCCCTACAGCACACCTTTCTCTTTAGTAACCTTCTTGTGCGTGCCGCTTTCCTGCCGCTGCAGGTGACATCGCGCGCCCTCCGGCAACTGCAGGTGTCGCGTTCTCTCTCGGTCCCTGCGGGGAGATGTACCAAGGCTTCCCCGGTGACCCTGACAGTGGATCCCTCGGAAGCTCGTCTCCATCTATAGAGTCCCAGTATATCTCCTCCGTGGACTCCTTCGGGAGCCCGCCCACCACCAGTGCTCCGCAGGTAATTTGGAGATTCAGTTATTTGCTTTTTCTTTTTTTTTTCCGAGGAAAATATTACGGTCAAGATCAGGAGTCAGGTTAACAATGTGACTACAACTTGATATGGATTTTAAAACACAATAAATGTTATTTTGTTTGTTCAATAATGCTGCTTGAGAGCGAATCAGAATATTTGCATTTCCAACTGGGTCTAATTAACTTTGATAACTTAAACAGTTGTGGATATTAATGTAATCATGTACTATCATCTTTATTCTTTCATTATAACTGACCTAAAACGACCATGTTAAGAGGACTTGAAAGTTAATGCTACGAGATTTACTTAAAAGTAAAGCCAAATGAACAGTCAGATGTAAACCAGCAGGCGAAACCTGGGCTTGTCTTTATTTTTGAACAATGCCGCCGCGTCCCGGCAGTGTGGTAGGAGAAAGCTGGCCGGTGATGCGGTGCTAGTGGAAGCTCCGCGCACGGCGCGCCGCAGAGCGGAAGGCAGAGTCCTGGAACTCCCCTCCGTAAGCCCCCCGGCTCCGCCCCCCCCCCCCCCCCCGCTAACCGCCTGCCTCCCTCCTTCCGCACGCCACGCGCTCGTCTCATTGGCCTCGCCGTGACGTAAATGCTGGTTCTATTTTGGAGCGCTACGTCGCGTTGCCAAGGGGAACACCGGGGGTGTGACGGGGGAAGGAGGAAGGAGGAAAGAGGAGGGAGGATGAGGGGGGGACGGTGATTGGTCCAGCCGACCGCTCTTCGGGCCGCCTGCCCCAATGTCTTCGCACACTTTTAAAGGCACATTAAAGACAGCCAGCACTCCTCCTCGTCTCTAAAATAACCCAAAAGGGACTGGTTGGAGTTTTCTATGCGCAATTTTTGACGCGTCAAGAAATGTCGATTAAAAAGTAGAAATCTGAACATCCTAACTGTAACCAACTTTTCCTTGATTTTCAAATTCAATTCGCAATATTAATAGGATTGTAGTTAGTTGAAGAACTTGGTCACTCTTTTTTCCACCTTATTTTCAGTAGATAAAGCTTCCTGTTCTTTTATGTGATTATCCACAGAATTTTTCAAATAAGTTTTAAAAAAATCATCTTAGAATACAAAAAAATGTTTACATCCAAGCTGTTACAGTTGTAAAAACATTCTATTGACTTTAAATTATGACTTTCTAACAAAAAATACCCTAAATAAGCCCCCAGAAATGTACCCTTCTGCTGGGTTGGTGTGGCTACAGTTCTATTGTGTATGGGGAAAAAGCTCTGAAGAAAAATGGCCTCTTCTTCTATCCCAGCGTACATTTAATTTGCGATGTGTAAAACGTAACTTTTGTGTCTCCTGCAGGAGTGTGTGTCAGCTGGCGCTGGCTTGAGCATTGTGGGAAGTGGGCCGGTGACAAGCGTTGGAGGTGAGATGCCCGGTTCGTTCGTGCCCACCGTCACCGCCATAACCAGCAGTCAGGACCTGCAGTGGATGGTCCAGCCCACCCTCAGCTCCTCCCAGGCCTCTGGGCAGAGTGTCTCCACAGGAACCACCACCATGACCCAGCCGGTGTCACTCGTGGACCCGTATGACATGCCCGGCCCTAGCTATTCCTCTGGGTCGGGGTTCACCCCTCCGAGCTCGGACACCCCCGGGCCAGCACCTGGCCCCATCCGCCAGTCCAGAGCCCGTAGCCGCCGCACACGAGACGAGTCTGTGAGTGAGGATGGAGATGTTGGTGTGTTAGTAAGTTTGTGTCTCGAGTGGTTTGTTTGTTGACCCTGCACTGTTACACACACTACACATGACAGCCTCATGATCACTAGATAGAAGGCAGCGATCCAAGAACCGTCCGCTCACTGTGGGGTTAAGATCAAATTCAGGGGCCCATTTGAGGCCCTTCTCCTATTCACAATCCTATGATGCAGATGAAAGCTAAGTCAGCTCAGACGGTTGTATATGTAGATCAGGAAATTTAATTTTCTAAAAGACAAATAACCGGACTGTGAGTACAGTTCCTAAACTAAAATAAAAAGTCAATGCTGGAGACAAAGCAGGGATCCTGACTGTCCGTGTCACTGTGTATACATCAGCTGCGTGGTCAATGTTCCTACATTTCCAAGAGCAAAAAACTGAACTTTTCTCCTGATCTACGTTGCTGTTTTTTTTTTTTATTACAGCTGACACCTGAGGAGGAAGAAAAGCGGCGCGTTCGCAGAGAGAGAAACAAGCTGGCCGCTGCCAAATGCAGAAACCGCAGACGGGAGCTCACAGACAGACTGCAGTCGGTGAGTTCTGCTCTGTTTTAGCTGCCAGAGTGAGCAATGGTCATAATTAGGCTTCATGGAACCTCCCAGGTCTTTGTGGAGGGTGTTAAAACATTTCTGCATGTGTGTGATGTAAAGGAGAGATGGTTATGGTAATTGAGTGTTTAGCTGTCATAAACGTAATAACAGTTCTCAAGACCGACTTATGTAGCCACGGTATTTATAGTTTAATTAAGGAGTGCTTCTGTATTACACCTGACACGTTACCCGCGGGCATGAAAGCATTTCCTGCATTAACTCTACTAAAGAAAAGTTTCTGAAGGTTTTCACTCATATTTTCTCCCTTTCTGCTGTTTGTCTTTTCCCACTCTTTACCCACCTTTACTCCCTTACTTGTTTTGCCCTCCCCTTCCTCAAAACCCGTTCACTGCCTGTAACTGCTCACAGGAGACCGACATACTGGAGGAGGAGAAGGCTGAGCTGGAGGCTGAGATCTCCGAACTGCAGAAGGAGAAAGAACGTCTGGAGTTTGTCCTGGTGGCCCACCAGCCAAACTGTAAGATCCAATACCAGGACCAGCCTCAGCAGGGCTCGGTGCAGCTCCCCCCAGTGCAGGGCTCTGTGCAGCTCCCCCCAGTGCATTCCCAGCTCCCTCCCCAGACCTTACAGCCTTCTGTCTCCATTGTGGGCTTGACTGTGAAGGAGGACTCTTTCTATCTGCCTCCTGCCTACACAGCCCATCCGGCCTCCACACAGCCCCAGCCTCCGGTTCAGCAGCAGCAGCCTCAGCCGGGAATAATGCAGGAGGTAGAGTTTTCTAGTTCTTTCTATGGCTCAAGCGAGCCAGCAGCTGGTGGGCCGTGCCTTTTGGCCAGTGACAGTGGTGGTGGTGGTGGTGTAAACCATGACGGCGCGACCATTGGCAGCTACAACACCTCATACACATCTTCATTTGTGTTCACCTACCCAGAGGGAGCCTGCGGGGTCAGTGCCAACCAGCGGAACAGCAGTAGCGAGCAGTCATCTGATTCCCTGAACTCGCCTTCGCTGCTGGCGCTCTGATAGACCAACAGACACATGCACACATGTTACCACGCGCACACACAGGAGGCTCACTTCAAGCTGAGCCTCAGACATTTACATGCACAATGCCAATCAGTCTGACTGACTGAGGAAAAGTATATTTGCACCTGATTGGGTTAAAGTTTGCACCTTCTTTAAACGCATTCCAAATAAGAGCCATAACAAGAGTTGCGCATTGGACCTTAAACGTTGAGCTGAAACGATTAATCCGTTTTTTTGTTTCGTATCGAGCAGAATACATGCCACAGGGCATTATTAGTGAATTACACACCGAGTAACGAACGTCCATGTTGCCAACCCTAAGTGCCCTGAATTAATGTATTAATTCACAATGAATTCTTTTATTCCAATACTCTCATTGAGTAAAGTTCAACCTGCTCATGTTACACCCCAACAAGTACCAACACCCCTACCTTGTTCCCTCTGCCGGTCGCCCCTCGGCTAGTGCTCTTGCTCTCATTCTTTTCCATCCTTTTCTTGCCTCTTTTTGAATGTATTTGTGCAAATCTGCAATAGGGACGGAGGACAATTTGTTCAGGGTCTTTTCTTGAGGGAGGCTGACAGTTACTCTTTTCATCTCTTCATCTGCTGTGCGTCCGTCTGCTTCTTCATTTGCTGCTTGGACTTGGCAAGTTGAGGACCTGAGTGCAGGCTCCTCTAAACCTTGTGCTTACTTCTCTACTTTGAAAAAAAAAAAAAGTTCCTCTGCCGTCTGCCTACCTGCCATGCGATCCATCTCTACCCATCTTTGTTTTTTCCTCTTCTGTCTCTATGTTTCTCCCTCTCTTTGAAGTCTTCGACCCCCGAGAGCCCGAAGACCCCTGACAGCCCTTGGGACCTTGAGTGAAAAGCCGGCACAACTAACATGACCTTTAGCACCCAGTCACTCAAGGATTTGGATGCAACATACCCATACGGAAGATCCTATTCTTGGAGCTCGTTGCTCAGATTCTTTAAGTGAACGGCAGCCACATTACTTTTCGCACACACAAGAAGCATAACTGACGAACACACAATGCAAGATGGATGCCACTGTCTTCTGCTGAGCCATTTTTCACATCCAGACAAAAAAAGATTAGACACATCTCTTGAGAGGCTGGAGAGAGATTAAGCAAAAACTGAAGAAAGAATTACAGACGAGTACAAACTCAAACAGAGTGTGGATAGAGGATGAATCTCATTCAAGCCATCCATCCATCAAAAGTTGAAAAAGTGTAAAATGTCAAACACAAAGCAAAAAAAAAAAGGAAAAACTTTTTTTTCCCTTGCCAATTGTGTCACTCTATGACCTCAGAACACTGCTTTCAAGAATCTGAACCGAAGATACAGACATTTTGTTACGGCACACCAGCTCAGAATTTTTGCTCAGAATCTACCAGATGTGAACCGATGCCTTTATTTAGAGGGGGGATTGTATTCCCTTTTAATGACCGTAATTCAGACAACCTCGAAACATTGGGCTCAGTGGTGTCTGTGCCCAGCCTCGTTCTCTGAGCAGAGACGGGGTGGGGGTGCATTTATTGTGAGTGCGTCCACTCTGAGGCACCTGGCCCGTTTATTTCTTTCTTTATTGAGGTTGATGTGGCGGGCAAGCACAAAGCAAGACCTGAAAACAAAAAGGGGAGAACATGCGGGCTGGTGTTGTGGAGTGAGCGTCCTTTATACGCCTGTGAATTTGTAGAATTTGTTTTTCCTGTGTGTTTGAGTGAGATCTGTTATATATTTTTACTGTTTCTGTTTTTGTTTGTGTTGCATTGTTTTTTGCATTGACCCCTGCTTTCTCTTGTACTGTTGCTGTTTCTTTTTTTGTCCTTATTTCATTTTGTTGTTTGAATTGGAGTATTTCCTCCTACTTGTTACTATTTTTTATTGCTTTGTAACTACTGTTTCGTTATTTTATTGTATTTTCATTTGGCAACTTTGGAGGCATGTTGTGCACTACAAAAAAGTTTGTATTGTATGTATATATACATATACATCTACATAGGTGACATGTATATGTATCAGTGTATGTACCCTGATTGTAAAGTATGAATGTCTGCAGATCTAAAGGGGATATTTTTGTCTATGAAGAACAAGATAAAGTGTTTAAATGAATATTTTTCTAAAGGAACAAAAAAGAGATAGATTATAAAATTAATTCAAAATACTGCCCCGTCCCTAAACATGAAGCACGATGTCACTGCCTCTGTCAATGTGTATTTATGTTTTATATAAAGCACTATCCAAGATACATTTAATGTGTGTTTATAACAATGATGTTAGAAGATTGTGGTGACACCTTTGTTTTTGTTTTTTGTTTTTTTTTCTCAGAGAGGTCTGTCCCAGAGCTACTGACACCTTAATGCCACTTAATTCTTATCATATAGCACAAAAAAACACAAAAAAAACAGCAGCAACAGAAAAAAAGTGATGTTGAATGTTCATTGAAATATTAAAAAGTGTTGAGACAACATTATAAACCTGTTTAATTCAAAGAGCAACGTTTCATATTCATTAGCATCCATCCGTTATGAGCATATCACTTAATATATATACAGAAATGTGTGTTGGATGGAAATTAGCCTTTGAGCTTTGACAGACAGAAGGTTAAAGTCGATTTTTCTTATTCTCAAGACTATATGATGTCTGAGAATTCCGGAAAAAAACAAGAACTTGTGATTGTATTTGCTGAATAAGAAGCTTTATTTTAATGAATAAACGTGTTCATTCAAAACAATGGCTAGATTAATGGCATGAATGTTTGTCCCTATGTGGCTCTGGTGGTCAGAGATCTGGCAGACCTCATCTTTTTTCCAACGTTGAGTTAGGATTGTGTTTGTACAGATGTTGCAAATGCCTTTTGACTTCCTTCAAATGCAAATGTGATGAAAATATGTTCTGGTGTCAGAATAAGCATAAAATATATTCAATAGTTCTCATGTATATAGGTTTATGTGGTGCTACTTATATCAGATTATAATGGTGTGGCAGCAAAACATTGAATGGTGGAAGGTTGCATACACATTGCTTTTAGTTGGGTTTTCAGTGTCTGAAAACTCAATGACTCAACAGGATGTTTTACTCTAAATGAAGGCCAATACAGTGAATCCCTGGCAGTAAAAGCTTTAATAGCTCAGTGATCACGTGTGGTTTGACCATAGTTTAATATAATTGCCTGCGTCATCTTTAAGTGTGACAAACTGTTCAGCAGTTCAGCTCAGCAGGTCCTTGTGCTGTACCTGCACTCCACACTTATGCCCCTGATCACCACATATTCTCTCATCTGGTTTCTTTCTCGAAACTGTCTGATGTTGCTTTAAAAATCTGTAAGGTTACAGTTACAAATGTTTTGCAAATTAATTGGAAATGATTACATGAAGGGGGAGGAAAAAATCAATATTTCAGAGCTAATAGTTTTGAGACAGAGAACCTGCCTGCATCTACCTGTACTGTAAAATGGTTATGATAGCATTAACTGAACAAGAGCTTTCCTATTTTTCTATGTGAGGTGAATGTTGCTGTGATTCTATTTTTCCAGAATTTCCATATGCGCTCTGATTTCATATCGTCCCTGTTATGAAATGCAATACCTACAATCCTCTTGGATGAACATAATGTAGCAAATCCTGCAGTAATCAGACTGACTGCTACTATATGTCAAGTGTGATGATGTATTGCTTTACTTATCAACTTTTGTTACAGTATTAAATTAAAAATATTATCCTAAATATTCAAAGTAAGATTTATTTTGAGATAATTTTATATAGCGCATGGGGAGAAAAAATAATTTAGTGAAAATTCATAGACTATCAAGGCTTCAACATTTAAGGAAGCTTTTATTCAAGTTAATTTCTCTTCTCAAGATTTTTCCTTTTTTCTCTCCCGTGTGAGCACTTTGTCATCTGTGGAAAGTATGAGAAATGTTAGAGATGTGAAATAATTTAAGGATACACAAGTGAAAGGCCCAAATAAACTTTAATAGAAGATGTCATTTAGGGTGCCTAGATCAATGCATTGCTGGGTTGAGAAGGTTCTCTGAGATTAACAGTGTCTATATTTTAGAAAATTTAAGTTGAGATAACTTATGATTATTACGCAAATCACTACAAAATAATGAGGTCTTATTTTATAGCCTTGTTCTTGTTTGTTTCTACTCTTGAAGAGGACCAAAATGTACAACATATTTGCTTTGTTGCCTTTGCAGACTCTGTTCTCTGATATTCTGTGCCCAGATTTAAACTTCTGGCCTTTTTTGCTATCCTTAAAGTTTACATGAAATGCTCTCTTTTTCAATTTCTAGTCTGTAAAAGCTGGGTGAGCTGTATCCTTTAATGAGGGTTTGACCTAGTCCAACTGAAATTCTCAAATTGTGAAGAGTTACATTAATAAAAGTTATACGATACGATAACAGTGTTTTCCTTCTAATTTTTTTTATTGAAGTCTTCGGTTTACACATGATTTCTACTGAAAAGATCACTTCTGTCGGTGTCACTGTAGAGCTAATACACTTTTGTTGTGTGGAGTGCACAGTCTCTGTCGCCATCTAGTAGCTAAATTAACACTTCGGTTTCGCCCTGCTGCAGCGCTCCTCTCTACCGGATGTTACGTAACAAAAGAAGCGCCGGTGGCTGACGTCATCACACGTTTGTTGTAAACATGGCGTCCGTGACAACAGGTGAGCGCATAAAGGCCCGGCTGGCGATTCAGAAGACTGTACCGCTTTTAAACAATTTCAGATGGCTTCTGGTAGATAAGTGCGCTGAATCGATTATAAAAACATTTACAAATCTCTCGATTTTATAGTTGGTAAGGATGGCTGTTAGTTTATCTGCATTGAGGGCTAAAGCTATCGCTAGGACAATGCTAACAGTAGCGGTCTAAATAGTAGCCATTCCTCGATTCATTCAATGTGTAATGCAGTTTAGTCATTAATAAAAACCAATAACAACTGATAATTGAATGCAGAAATGTTAATCTGTTTATAACGTCAATAAATTTAGTCGGTTTTTAGTCTGATGCATCAAACGTAGAGGATTTTGTTATTGAATCAAATTTTCGCGCTTCGATGGATTTTTACATCAAAACTTTGCAGCGTTGCCATAATAACTGTAACACTTCCAGGGCTATGGTTTCTGATTTGAACTGGTTGGAACACAGTGTGATTTTCGGGTTGACCGAGCTGATCAGAAATGGGAGGTGCTGGACGGAGTCATTGTTGGGGCAGCTGTTGTGCATCCTTCATTTTGTATCTGTAACTCCAGCCGCAGGACGTTTCATAGTCGGTGGTATAAATACACCCCAGCTGCCCCTGGTCAGCATGTGTTGGACCTCAGCGCTCTGCTGTCTCCTTATGTTTATGTCTCCCACGGGCCATTGGTGTCAGTTTTCTCTCGGACTGTGGTCCACAGTTTTCACTGAGAGCCCTCCCAAACTGTGGAGCTGTACTATGTCCTGCACGTCTGTACTGTTCTCAGCTTTTGATTGTTTTGTGTATATTTACATATATGTTGTTTTGGGGCTGTTGGTCTGATGGTCAGTGAACTGCATAATGGGTTTGTTATCAGTTACCATGAAAGTAAGGTAGTAGCTCTAGTCAGCAGGTTTACTTTTCTTCTTTCGTTGTGTTACTGATAGATATCCCCTTTATTTTCCCTGTCAGCCACCTCAGAGTGGATTCAGTTTTTTAAGGATGCAGGGATCCCAGCTGGACTCGCAGTCACTTATGCAGTTTCCTTTGTGGACCACAGGTAACACACGCTATATTTCAGGAATTTAATTTGACTCATCATATGTTCTCATCATCTTCGTCATGATTTTGGATCAATCCTTGTCTCGCTGCAGAATTCAAAAGAACATGCTGATGGACCTCAGTAAAGACATCATGATGGACCTCGGCATTACGGTTATTGGTGACATCATTGCCATTCTGAAACATGCCAAGCAGGTCCACAGGCAGGTGAGGCATTCAGATTAATGAAAGAAAGCAGGGGGAAAAAATTAACATTTGTGTCTCATCTGTCAAACTATTTTTTCCCCATAGTAGACGGGGTTAGTTATCTCATCTGACAACGATTTCTTTCTTTCCTTAAATGAGTGTGGCATCAGTTTATGAGAACTGCAGCATCAACATTCTTCAGGATGCCATTCCCAGTTTTATTCACTGTTGTCTGTTGGTCCATCTACAGGACATGTGCAAAATGGCAACTGAGGCCATCTCCTCAGGACAGACCAGTGTTCAAGCTGAGCTTAGAAGGACCGCCAAAACCCGTGAGTCACCAAATGTCGATTCTTAACTTCCTGTTTAATTTTTCTAAATTAATATTCTTTTAAGTTAACTGACACTATCTTGATTTTCCCAGCTTCCTGGCTTTAGTGGAGTGACAAATCTGTGTGGCCCACTATTCAGCCTATCCAGACATGGGTCATATATGAATGTACTAGTCAGCAAACGTATCATGATGTGTGTCTGTGGTCATTATTCAGATAAGTGAGCCAAACCTGGGGCAAGCAGCCGACTAGTTTCCAGATTTGTCACCTCCCAGTTCTGCTTTCAGCTTGCAAAGTGTCTTAATTTTTTCTGAATTTATCATAAAATTGGACAAATAATTGCCATTGACAGTATTGTGCACAAGTAATTTGTAGTTTACACAAAAGCATTGCATTAATTCTGAGGACCTATAAGTTAGATTCAAATTTATGAGCCACAAAACCACCTTGCCTCATGCTTTGTAGATCCCCATCTATCAAACAGGAAGAACACGAGATCTGTGGGAGGGCCTGTCCAGTTGTGTACGTCACCACAGGATAGGCCTGTTGTCAGCAACACAGGACTTTCTCTTAGGAAATTAACACAAGTTTGATGCAGAAATTACCAAAAGCAAACAGTTTGGGAACATTTCATTTCTTTTCGTAGCTGCTACTCGTATGATTGCCAATGCCTTGAGCCACGACTCCCCTCCAGTCACTCCAGCTCGCCGACCAGACAACCGTCTGTCCGTTACAGTGTCCAACACACAAGCAAACAAGAACCACAAAGCAGGTAGATGGCATGCAGGGTTTCTTACCCCCCCGCTTGCCTGTTGTTTCCTGTTCCACTTGAGCCTCTGCTCACCCCTCATGCATCTACTTTGTCAGTTGTGAGTCAGCCGGCTGATGAGGGGAACAGTCTGCCAGCAGTGAAGCGCCGACGTGTGACTGCCGAGATGGAAGGCAAGTACATCATCAACATGCCAAAGGGCACCACGCCTCGCACACGCCGAATCCTAGCCCAGCAGCCCACCAAGAAAGGTAGGCCTGGCCCAGTGGTCTCGCCCGACAACGCTCTGAACTAACCCCGTTACTCAGCAAACCTCACCAATGCAAGAAGTGTTCTAAGTGTTCTCTGGGTAAAGCTGAGCGTGCCTGGTCCTGATAGTCACACCCTCTGTGTTGTTTTCCATTGCTACTAATACTCCTCCTCTAATGAACCAATACCCAGTCTCCTTGTTAAGATTTGCCCTCTTTTTTATGTGTGTTTGTGAGTTCTATCACGCCTTTGAAAATCATTGATTCAGCATGAATTTGCAACTGAAGAATTGGAAATGTATCCTATTTTTTTTTTTACACATTTCTAAGTGTTAAGATTTAAAAGCTGATTGTATCACATTAGTGTTAGAGTGCTGAGTGATTCTGGCTCTTCTCCTTAAAAAAGGCTTGAAGCGGACTTCTGTGTTTGAACGGCTTGGAGCCGAGTCGATGGCAGACACAACCATGGGTGACAGCAAGGTGAGACCTGTCGGAAACGGCCCGCTGGTTCGAATGGAGCTGCGTTTTTGAGCTAAAAAAATGCGCCCGTGTGTTTGCAGCCCACCGGTGTGTTCAGTCGGCTGGATGGAGGAGGCGAAGGAGAGGAGGCCCCGCAGCCGGGAAGTCTGACGGCAAACCGGGACCAGGGCGACGACAGCGACGGCGAAGGCTCCGTCCTCCAGTACGCAGGCGTCCTGAAGAGACCCCCTCCCGCCCCGAAGAAGGCGCAGGCGAAAAAAGCCGCCCCCACCACCCTGCGACGCCTGGGAGCCAAATTTAAACGGCCCCCCTCCGAGGCTCCCACGTCCTCCTCTACCTCATCGCAAAACGGCGTCCCGCCCGCCAAGATCAGCATCCTGAAGAGACTGGGAAAGCTCCCCGCCACAAACGCCGCCGCGCCTCTGGCAGCCGCAGACACGCAGGACAACAGAGTGACCAGCACCAGACCCAAAGTCCAGCAGAGAGCCACCATAGCCAGCTCCAACGTGAGCAGCAGCACCGGGGCCGGCGGAGGTGGGGGAGCCGGGGGAGCAGAGTCAGGGGGCGCCAAGATGGACGTCCAGGCTGTCAGTGTTTTTAAGAGACTGGGCAGTAAGAAAACCTAGCGCACTTCGCAGAAATGATACTCTTTCTATGTGTTATTTATAGAGTTTGTATCAGCACCTTTTTGCATTCATCTGCAAATTGTTTACTTGAGTTTTTGTTTGGTTTCGTCTGGGGGGGGTATAGACATTTTAAAATGCAGCTCTAAGCTGGTTATCATTATTGTCATATCTGTTTCGAACACTGAAGTCATGCTGCCGTGGAAAAGTCACTTTTGTGTTATGTCGGAGCTTTTTATTCTGAAGGCGCGGTATTTTATGTTGCTCTGTCATCAGGCTATTTGTAGTGTCACTCTCACTTCTGCCATCGGTCGTATTTTGGACGCATCTCTTTTATTGCGTTCGTGCACAGGAGGAATGAGCATGACCACAAACAATCTACCACAATGGTAGTCTCATTTTTTCTCCAGTGATTTAGGTCTTAGGGGTTTGCTGCCCACTCACCTTTCCTCAAATCTCCCCAGCTTGTTGCTCCTCCTATTGAAATGTTGCCATAATTATGTAGATTTTTGCCTGAATGCTTCATATGTTTCCAACGTTTTGAGCAAATCGTAAAATGTAGACGTTGAGTACGTGAGGCTGGGTGTACACAGGAGAGACAGGGATGGTTTTTATCACTGTACTTTTAACTTTGACCTGAAAATGACTCCCGCATCATGTTTTAAAAATACGAAATGTGCAAATGTGTGCAAACGAACAGATTCACAGGTTTGACCTTTGAGTGGCGACCATAAAAGAAAGCAAATGGTGACACAGAGTTACCTCACCGAGTATTTAAACCAAGGAAAATCAACTCACCTCTTCCTCTGCTTGCTGAGTAGATGTTCACTCCCATGTCAGTTTTTCTACTGTAAGACAGAACGTTTTCTTATGACTTCCTACTTGAAAACCAGATCAGTGGAGTATTGCTTATTTTCCAATGCAATGTACAGATTTGATATTCTGGATTTAATTCAGAACAGAATCCGTTCTGTTGCTTATTTTTCTATGGGAATGTTCTGTTTATCCTGAATCCAACTGAAGAACCTCACTGGGGCCATCGGGCCTTTCGTGGGGCCGCTGAACTTTATCTCCAGTATGGAAATCTCCCGAACCACGTATGAACCTTTCACACTGTAAATAACTTTGAAATGTTTTTGATGTTTTAAGAAACAAAGTAGAGCACACTATAAATTCACAGGAAAATGCTCAAATATCAACGGAAATATATTCTAAAGTTAAAAACTAGGAAAACGGGTCCAAATATCTGAGCCGTTTTGTATTTTTCCTCCCCCAGAGGGAAACTTAACAGCCTAACTAACCCGTGTAGGTATCAGCATACGATAGCAGAGTCAATAAGAGAAGATTAAGCAGCTCATTCATCCAAAACAGTTTTTTCAGCATTTCCCTGCCCGCAGTGACATTTCAGCTGTGCGGCTTTAGCTGAACACTCAGAGCATTATGGTAATCACGTTTCCTGAGAAGATGCCAGTAACTGCTGCTGGATAATCATAACATCCATAGAGCACACTTTCTAGAGTCATTTAAACCATTGCAGCATATATTTGTGGCAGCATCAGCATCCTTCTCAATCATACATGCAGTTAGTGGCTCCTGAGGTATAACTGGAATAAGAGAGAAAGCTGAATTGCCTGTCAAAACATGAGGAAGCTACAATAATATAATGTAAAGATGACGGGGGTTTTTCTGACAAAAACCATCACGGAAAAGATATTTTAGTCCCATCTCTTAAAAATACATTTTGATAGATACAATGTTATTTTAAGACTGATGACAGTGTTTTGTTTTTTGCTATCATACACAATGCATTCAGCTGCAGGCATTTAACAGTGAGATTAACTCATGAGCCCAACCACCATTGAAACACCAGAAAATTGTTATATCAATCTTATGAAAATCTTTTTTTTTTGGCATGGCTGTAAGTGTAAGGGATCTCATATATCTTTTAAAAGATTACGGACATTGGATAGAAAGAAATAATTATCTGCTGGTACTGAGGAGCTCCAACGTCCATTGAACAAGGAGTCTTTTACTGAAAAGAATTCCCCATATCGACCATCTTGGAAAATGTGTCTGATCTCATGACACAAAGCATCAGAATCATGCTGTATTGTGAGCAAAAGGGAGAGGATGATAATGTAAATGTATCAAAGGTTAGAGCAGATTATTTACCCCCACCCTTGTTAAAGCGGGAACAGCTGTCTGTATTTTGGGAAACTGTCTGATCACAAGTCTAATAAAGAAGTGACACCGAAACACACCAGGAGCCTGATCTTTGAAGCCCCCAGTACGTCCATCTGTCAGTCCCCCCCCACATCCACGCATTGATGTGTGAAACCAACATGTGTTGACCTCATGTCACACGTATCTGCTGGTTTTCAACTAGACCGACATTCAGCGCATTGCCTCAATTCACGTCACGCAATTAAAAACAATTTCAAGGGAGGGGGTTACAGAAATGACTTCGATTTTACACAACTGAAAAAATGAAGGATGATACTGGACAATAAAGGGTTAACAGAAACAGTCACTGCTGGTCAAGATTGAACATATAAGGACATAAAGCAACTGTAGAAAGGGGCATGATGACCAACGGGTGACCACAGAGGCACCAGCAACACACACACGTTAAAAAAAAAATCTGAGTAAACAAATGTATAAAATGAGCAAAGGAGGTAAAAAAAGAATATATGCAAAAATGACCTCATACTATAGAAAACATCTGGTAAGTTTACTCTTGGAAAACATCTGTATCTGCATGCTTTGTTGCTGTCCTTTTTTTCTTTTTCTTTTTTTTTTTTTGGTGTGTGCAGAGTTAAAGCTGCCCCTATAGACCCCGATGTCCTTGAGCCTGTTGTCAAAACCCGTCCATGGATTGATGGCCCCTGTGAGGGGCCGATAAGTCTGCGGGTAATGAGGTGTCATCCCTTCAAAGCTCTGGAGGTTGTCAGAAAATAGTGTGGGCCGTGCAGGGATGTGGCTGGATGTTGGGCCTCAGTAGCCTGTTACAAAACACCGAGACGACTGCAGTTAACGCCGTGTCCGCTAGAGGTCGCTCTCCTCTTTCTCCTCCGGGTCCCTGCAGCCTCCTGATGTCTGCCTCCGTCTCCTTGAAAGCCTTATCAGCTGAAGTCATCAGGTGTTTCTCTGTAGCTACAATATTATTATTTTGCGAGCAAGATTTAAGGGATCGAAAAGCTGAAAAGTCTGCTCGTGTTTGATCATTTTGTTTTTCTCTATCTATGTCCTTTTATTTCTAACTATGAAGGCTATCCACTTCCAAACATAAGGAGTTATCTCCAATCTTTCATTCGGCTTTTGATTAGAGATTTATTAACATTTAGAGTAGTTTTAAAGGGACTGCTCAGGGCGTAACGTTTAGTAAACAGACTCCTGAATGTGCAAATACTACGTTAAAAAAACGACAGAAATCAGAACTTCTTTGTTGTTTCACCACGTTTGGAGGATAAACAACACGTTTTTCTCCATTCAACCTGTCGCGTCAAAGCATTTCCTCCCGCTTTTGTGATTTTTCGCCACATGAAATCTTAACCGCAGCAACGCCTCACGACTTCTCTCTCTCTCTCTCTCTCTCTTCTTTTTTTTACCCACAATGCCGCGCGGCAGGGGTTGTGGTGTGTGCGCTGTCTGTGGTGCTGAAGCTGAGCGCGCCTCGGAGGTTACCTCCATCCACACGAGCCTCCATCCGCGAGAGGATCCGAACGAGGAATCGCTGTTCATCGACGGACGCAAGATCTGAACCACGGGGAAATTCTGCGTGTTTCCTGCGGTCTGTTTTGGGAGAGTTTGTGAAAAAACAAACAAACAAAAGAAAACAAAAACTAGTTTGTTATTTTCTCGAAGCACAATCTGAGAGCCCGAGACGCGGCGTGTTTTTTTTTCTTCTCCGGAGCCTGCCCTGTCGCCTCCTCGTCCCATCCAGCCTCCTCCAGCCTATGCACGGCTCCGGTGCCCCCCCCCCACACATCCCCGGCTGAACACACCTCCGCGTCCGCGCGCCATGACCCGCTCCGACAGCCTCCACTGAAAGATATGGAAGCCAAACAGCACCCCATCAAAAGCCTGAAAAGTTACCCCGAGACCGGCGGCCGGAGCCTGGCGGCGGCCGCCGTGGGGGGGGACAGCGGAGGGGGAGGAGGGGGAGGAGGAGGAGGCCGGGAAACGGAGATGGAGGCGAAGATCCAGAAAGCCATCGACTTCAAGGTGGAGGGCCATCGTTGTTACAAGGAGAAGAAATTTCGGGAGGCGATAGGCAAGTACCACCGGGCGCTGCTGCAGCTCAAAGGCGTGCACGTCGTGGACGGGACCACGGGCTCCGAGGTCAACCTGCTCGGCCAAGCCACGGCCAAGCTGACCGAGGAGCAGCGGAGAGCCGTGGAGAGCACCGAGATCGAGTGCTACGACAGCCTGACAGGTGAGCCGCCTCCCTCCGTCCGGCCATCCATCCCTCCGTCCATCCCTCCGTCCATCCCTCCGTCCATCGTTCCGGTTCACCGGGGTTCATTGTGCGGGTGCAGCGTGCTCTCTGTTGCGCAGAGGCAGGTGGAGTCACGGCGGCGCTCCGGGAGTTGGGGGGGGGGGGGGGGGGG